ATTATTCAATTTTTCGAATATAATACCAAGTATTGCCTAATACTAATATCTAAACCTGGAGAATATATAAATACTCTAATAAATAAATTACCATTCGATCCCAATCAGTAGCCTACATGTATTACTTACGTTATTAAAATAATGTTTCCTTTTTTCATTTTACACTTAGTGTGCTCAATATAATATGAGATTAATGTAATTCCCTACAATGAGATGTTCGCTCTTGTTTTGAATAAGAATGAAATTCCTTTCTTTATGTCTACCATCCGCGTTTTTTTTTAATTCCTATGAATCTTATCTGCCTGAGAAATATTCTTCAAATGTACATATATTCTAATAACCTAAATATAAAATTTAGTGTTGTTTCTATTGTTAAAAAGTTTCATTCATCTGAGTGACTATTCAACTATACAAGACTGAATTATTAATTCTGTTAGATAATTACTCATTAAGATAGGTGACTGATTAGTGATTGTTTATATCTTGTCTATAATTTACATTCTTGTATTGACTGCTTATTCATATGTGGTTATATTTGCTTCAAATACCTACAGTATATCTAAACCATATATGTTTACACATATGTATTATCATATACATAATTGTTCCAGATGTACAGTTATATCAATGAGGACCATGATGATTAAAAACGCATCATGGGTTTTGTTGGCCAAGCAAATTATTCTTATTTTGCCATTTTCATTACTTTCCGTATTTGATGAAAATAAAAACATACCTCTACAAAAATAATTATTTTCCCATCATGATATCAATGTTATTACATGTGTATATTGTGTGTCAGCCTATGTTATATATCCATTACAAATATATATATTCTTTTTTAGATCCATTCATGATATATTGTTTGGGAACCTACAGATCCAGACGAATGTAAATGTAGTTACAGAGTCGGGATACTTGTTATAACAACCGGGTTAAGCTATAACAGGTCAGTAATGTGCATGGGTCAAATGTGTAGGCATTAATGTATTCGTTTTTCCATTTCAAACAAATAAACTTTAGTTATGACTTGGAGATCGCAAACGTTTTCAGGGCTTTTACTTCAGGGATAAAAAACATCGTTGATTACGGATGATACCGGGATAAGTCATTTGTGTCTTAATATTTTTGACATGCAAAAAAAAAAAATAAATAAATAAAATAAAATAAATACGTGGTTATATGGTGATGATCTCGACTGTTTCTAAGATTAAACTCCCGGGACTAAGGATGACCCAGGGGTCAATTCTTAAGCTATATGTGTATTAGTCTCCGCTTTCCTAACAAAAGCATATGAAGTTTAATGGTGAAGATCTCCGTGCTAAGACCCCATTGAGATGACTCTGGTGTAAATTATGTCATGAGTCCGTCCTCTCCATTCCTAACAAGGATATATAAACATGTAGTTACATAGTCTGAATCTCAACTGTTTACACGCATTCATGCCCCGAGTACTTGGGATGACCCCGAGGTTAATTCTTATGACATGTTAAGAGTGTGTTCGTCCATCCATTCCTAACCAATGTATATATAGTTTGACGATGGAGATCTCAAACTGTTCCCACACGTTGACCTCCGTCCTATAGATATGATCCACGGGTTCAGACCATAGTGGCCAGTGAGGAACACTGGATCAATTCTGGACGCATGTCGTGTATCTACATTGGATTAGTATAGTAATGGCAACGCACAATGCACCAAAAACTTCGTGCGCATATCGTGCGCGTACACGCACAATGCCCTATCATGCGCACAACTGTGCGATAGGATCGCACATTTTGTGCGTTTTGGTATAAATGGTTGGCTTATAAAACGGATTGAAAATTAAACGAAAATTCGTGAAGTTGTTTAATAAATACCGATCACATGAACATTAAAATTAATCGGTGATTATAAAAGTCAGTTTTGATTCGACAGTTTTCGAAATAACACTGCACCTGTATAATTAGTGTTATCATATATAGTTTCATACCTCAGAAAGTGGCGAGTATTGGTGCATCGGGCACCTGTTTACCTGTATACGTGTATATACGTGACAGGTCCGTACCGCCCATGTAACGAACACAACACTTAAGATTTACCTGCGGATATATTTTTATTTTTTACAAAATAAATGAAAAATGAGAGTATTACAGAAGTAATGACAATGAAATTTTCTTGACGATGGTATGAAATTTTAAATGATTCATTGCTATGACATAATGTTTAATGTTATATATTGTGTATATGTATAATGTGATTCCGTACACAAAATCTGGTTCTCTGTAACAAACACTTAAATTACGAGTGTATCTTAGCAAGGTCACTCTATTTTCCTAACTGTTATACCGGTGTAGTTTGAAGTATTAAATAATATCAATACCTATCTTTTTGTTTTAAAACAATGCAACCTTACTTAAAACATTTTAAGACTACAAAACCTAACATCAATGTTTTACAAAAAAATAGTTATTTAAATACACTTGAACGATCTAATGCAATATTACTGTACTAAACCCAACGTTATGTATACATCATGTTTTTTTACTTTATATTTATTTTTTATTTATCATTTTGATATTACGTTTTAGTATGTATCATTTATGTAAAAACTGGAGAATGCATCTTAGAAGTCGTTTGATCGGTTCATTAAATGTATTGTATGTCTGCGAGATTGAAGGAGTTTAGCGTAATGTTAGTCTTAAACAATGACTCTTTACATATGGTTTTATGTTACACAAATAAACGAACGTATGCAACTGATAAATTAAAGAGCGATAGAATAAATCATTTACCTATAAACATATTGATGGTGTAGATGCGTCGTGGTCCCGTCATCAGGTGGATCCTCCTTCCTTGGTTGTTTCGGCGCTGTCCACGACAACCTCCAGAGGTACGCCGGCTGGGGTGATTAGGTCCCAGCCCGGAACCACTGGGCTATCCGCTAGTGACACTGGTGGCATTTTACTTGGTGTTATTAAATGTTCATATGCCACCTCCTACCATGTTATGTCTCCGATGATTCTCGAGATCACTGATGTTAGATCCACTTCTCCTCTCTCTTCCTCTATAGCCACAATGAAGCCATCTCAGCTTCTTTACAGAGACAGCTTATGAGCTTCCGCCTGTCTGCACCAATGATGACTATGACCCGCATAGCTCTCCACATCCACTGGCCCTAATCCTCTGCAACCTGTCTCCACTGGAAAGCACCATACTTCCCATCCTCTGTGTTGGCAGCCCTCCACTAGACCCTGATATTTAATCTTCTTGCGCTCATAGGCTTCCTCCATTCTTTATTATCATCATTTAAAAGATTGTTACATGTATAATAAATCATATTTGTATTGCGTTATATTTAATGAGTTTTAATTGATCAATAAATACACATGATTCCCATGTATAATATTCTTGTGAAGTGTTTAAAATTTCAACGATATATAATAGTATGGAATTCCATGCAAGTTTGATGAATTATAAAACTGCATTTATAGAATAAGCAGTAAATACATGTGTGTTAAAACTCTAGTCTGAATTTATTTTCGCGCATTCAGCTTTAAAAAATGTATAAGCTATATTGGTTTGTCTTTGTGTGTGCTTTTCTGTTAAGGTATGGAGCAAGTGCGAAATGTCATCATCCTTATGTAACAGAGGAGAACCCGGGACTCCTGATTTACTAGTCTTACGCTCAACCAATCGAGCTAAAGAAGAGTTCTTTCTAGCCGAGTGGTATATTTCGGCTAGTACCAGGGTCACACTTATACACAAAGATTGTCTGACAAATAATGTTGCGTGTAAGTAAGCTATTGAATTGGACGCGTAATCAAGTAATACGTTTATAATAGATTGATACATAACCCTTATCGCCTAAACTACCAGTAAAGATAAATTATACTATAGAATTAAACCGTTTATCTGTCAGAAAACGAACACTCTGTAGTTGGTTATTTTCTTTTTGGTAATGTTTGAAATATTGCTTTAAAATTACAATGACTGGAAAGAAACGAAGTCTGGCCTTTAAATATGTACCTTGAGGTCATGTTATCGTAATTAGTGCTTACTCCCCACGCCTCATTTATTTCTTGATCCATAATGACAGACCAGCATATATCATTATTTACAACACTTGTTTGTCAAACACAGCCATCACGGGTTGTTTCTGGTAAGCAAACATTTTATTGTTATCTTTAGAATATGACGCAGACTTCCGATATTTAGTCGCACAACCTGCCAACTGTACCGGAACTAAATTGTCAATCATACATGGCTAATGTAGTTTTTTCTCAATGACCTGGTGTGCAACTTGTTTTATTTGAAGTTTTTATCACGGCACTAAAGAAACATACTGTCGACTAGACAGTCATTCATTCTCGCAATTTCATATAATTATTCATGCATCTTTTTTTTAACCTCTCCAAAACTGTTAAATGTAGATTTCAAATATCAAATTAATACCACTTACAAGCCTATACCGGACTGTATTTTAATACCATATCGTTAAAGATAAAAAGTATGAAAGGAGACAATAGACCTCGTCTTAAACGAAATCTGAGAAAAAATGTTACTTTTACAATGTATATCATAAGACATAATATTCAAATGTATTTCTTCTTTCGACTTTGCGTTCAAGATATTGTTTTTGTATCCATAAAATTACAACTCCATAAGTATGAATATATTGATCTTCACAATGAAGATATTACGATTTATTAAATTAAGTCATGATACAATGATCAAACCTATCATTTTATGCTTAAAAACAGTTATTATGCTACACTAATAGTGTCTGACGATTACATATGAAATATTCGTATGAGTAATGTAATTCATAATGAATAAATCATTTTGTACATGTGTGACAACTATAAATGTTCATATACAATATGAGGATAAAACGTAGTAAAGATTTCAGAGAAATATTTAAGAAATGTATATAAATATATAATATTATCCTGTTAGTATAATACATAATGGTGTTAAGTTTAATTTATTGTTTCAAAGAAAAATTGACACTGGTGCAAGTGGTCCTATATCACTGTTAAAAATTGTTCATACTACAGAAACATTTTTTTTTCAATTTCGCATCAACCAAGCCAGTTCATCATTGCGAAGTTTCGAAGGACGTACATAGGAAGCTTTGCCTGCGAATCTTTTCCTTCTATCTTGTTCTCCTGCTATGTTAACTAGTCTGTAAGGTGCAACGGAAATTCTGCTGCGAGAGGGACACACAGATGTAGACCATCTCTGCATCTTATTTTTCAAAGATGAAATAATCCATCTACGGGATATTCCATCCGCTAAGTTAAATTCTACTTCCTTTACGTTACGATTGTAAGTCATCAGTATCTGTAAGATAAGAACAAGCCAAAAATTTATAAATTGTGATTAATTACTTACATTCGTACAATGTACCTTATGATAATCAACGTTTGTCTACAATATTTTAATACTGTGAATGATAAATGAATGAAACATGACAGAGTGTTAAATCATTAAAGAGAATGAAATAGATGTATAATGTACAATAACAGTATAACCAATGCCTACTTGATCTGCATGGAAATGTGTTGCACTTACCAACTTTCTTTCCATGAAGAAAAACATTCCATTTTAATAGTAGTTACGGTTACCACATCATTTGTAATGCTTGTATAAATTCTAGCCATTAAAAGAAATTAAGCAAGCTCCTGAAATGCTGTAAAGTACCTTTAGTATTGGATAGAGTGCAATAAGGTCATCTTTAGATGTCAGGTAAATCTTAACAACACCACTGGCAGATATCGCCCTTTCTTGGTCAAGAAGATCTAGAACCGGAAGTGGATTGTCTGATGGTCCATAAAGCACTTCCTCTACGTCCATGTCAGGGTTTGGCTGGTAGGTCTCCTCTAAAGTCTCCACTGCAGTTTGAGTAAAGATTCTTAGGTTAAGAATGAACGCATGATTATATAAGAGGGAAAATATAACTTCAATATGATTTTAAATAACTCAGCGTTTCTTAATTACACTTCAGTAGTTATTGCCTGTACTCAATCAACTACTTAAGTAGTGGGTAAATATAGCTTGGTTAAATGAATACGAATAGCTTATTTTTCACAGGAATTCGTTGTTTTACAAAATACGGCGCATTTCTATTTGTTTTCAGCTTTAAATAGTCGAATACAATATTGAAAAAAGTAATTTTCTTACTTAATATGGAATAAAATTGCATGTCCTGGAAACAGACGTTACCGCTGTCACAGGCAACAGACGAAATGTTGGATGGACGATCCATGTTGTAGAATACAGCATTATCATTGAGGCTTCCTCCAAACGGAACGGACAAGGCTGACAGGAACGTCTTTATAAATGACATGCAACTCTTTGTTTTTTCCGTCCATATACTTCCTGTTATTTCAATAAAATCTTAATAGGTCATACCTTTGTGTTCAAGCAAGCAGTGTTTGATAGTTTTGGTTGTTTTAGACAAACAAATAAAAGAAACAGTAGTTATCATCAATTTCACTATTTTTCGTTTACTCTAATCAATGCCATTAATTAGAAATTCCGCCAAGTAACATATTCAGGAACCAACTGTTCCTGGTTTCAATGACGTTAAACTACTAACCTCGCCCAAGACATCCTCCACAATTGGTTATGAAACATCTTTCAGCTTCTTCTCTGATACTTGATTCTGAAAACTGCCCTGAACCGACCACACTGACAAGATTATCGAGTAACTTTTTCACTGCTTTTTCCCTTGCTGCCATGGTTTCTTCACAAAAGTCTTGATTGTTAAATATACAGGTGTTCAGTATGCTACAAATGAAACAAAGATCCCGAATGCTTTATCGTCACACCAAACTATATTGTTTGCTGCCTTCCTGCTTTCTAATGCTGACCATATTTAGTATAATACTGCTTGCTATTCAAAACATCATTTCAAGGATTTCAAACATGTCGTATAATGAATACTTCGTTAAATAAAGGCTTTGGTATTAAAGGGATATTCCAACCAAGGTGCAAAAATATTTTGTTGCGCCATTCGTTTTTAGTAGATCGTTTGACTATTAAAATCATTGCAAGCATTAAAACATTCTTCATATGGTCACGTCGGACAGGTAAAGTTGGTAGAAACACCCTCTGCCCTGACCAATATAGCGCATACATTCGTTTTGCACTGGCTGGTCTCTTCCACAAACCGCAGCCATATCTCGTACTGTTTCCATATTGTGATGCGTGGATTATATCTCGACCATTTCGACTTCCTCCTCTTTTTCTCTGACGTAGAAATCGCTTTCTTTTGCCGTAAACGTTTCCCCGTGGGAGTCGCCATTTTCGTATGTTTACAGTGTATTTTGCAGGCGCAAATCGGTTGTAACGTGACGTCATTAGGGCAGCACGAACATAATTTGTATACAGATTTAGCTAGACCTAAATGGAATTTCCTCAAATAGATAGCGAAAGTTGAGTTTTGGGGAAATCTAGTCGTGTGATTTTCATAAGAATTTAAGTAGATGCTTTTGTACAATTTTCTAAAAATAAAGCATTCTATCAAATCCTAACACGGAATATCCTTTTAACGAATGGTAACTAAGATCGTGATATAGGATGCTATGTGCAATTCAGTTAATAAGCAATATTGTTGATTAAAGTCATACTGATTCACTATAATTTCATTATTTGTGAAGATCATACTTACCTCGCTGGTTGTCTTATATAGTACAAGGGTTCCCCGAGTGGTGGGTCTTTGCATGCCAGTCTAATATCTGTCGGTCTGATCATAGGTCCACCTGATATGTAAAAAGAATCTTCATTTGTATTATTGCCGAGTATTTGTATTTCCATTGGTTGTTCTGTTATAAAGATTTATCTAACAACCTGGAAAACCTTTAATATACATTAACAAAATAAGGTGATTTTGACTAATGTCTGACGATAATATGATTTACTTACCAGCAAAGAGATCGTCTTGTACCTGCTTCATTCTGTTGTACAAATGAAGATTATCAACGTTCCACAATGTCAGGAGATCTCTCGGACCAGTGCTTTCTCGAATGTCCAAATACAGACGGTCAGAGTGAGTCCCTATGCCTATTTTCATCTGTTTTAATCTTAGAAGAGCAGTGCACGTTCTTACAACCGTAATCCCCAACTCATACATAGGATCGTCTTCCATCGTGTTGACTGGGATGATTTCTACGGCTTTCCCGCGAGGAAATTTCTGTCTTTCTTCAATATGTCTCTCTTCGATATTGATGTCATTAATAGATATGGTTCTATACGCTGAACCTTTCACTATCGGAATACACGACCCATACTCATAGCTGGCTTCATCTAGACACTGAAGAAGCATTGAATCAAATCTGAAATAACGCTTATTTGTTCCTTGGTTCTGAATGTCTGATACTGAATAGCAGTCAGATAACTTTAGCTCAGTTTTATATCCGTCATACAATGGTAGTCGTTCGTCAGTGACAACATATTCGTCGCCGCTATTGGTAGGATGATTCACATCAATTAGATTAACCAGCGGAAACGGTGTTATGCTTGTCCAAATCCCTGCCTGATTTTTAACGTAAACATCCAGATAGGATTCGCGGATTGCAACAAAATCAAATCCCGCAAACACAGCCAGACTGGCGGCATACTCCATGGTAACGTTCATATTGGAAAGGTCGATCTGTATAGCCCTGCAGATAGACAAATCGTAAACAAAACCAGTAGTCATATTTAATTTATTTAATCCCAAAAAACATCAATAATGTTTTGGTTGAAGTGGAATTGCCATTGAAATATCAGTTGCCAAATTATTCAAATTGTAGGTAAGATAAAACACATACCTTCCGTTGTTTTGGTATTTTGTCAGAATTTCGCTCGTTGTAAATGCTGACCGTTTTGTCCTGATACCCCGTTGCATTTTCTGATAGTTCCCTGTTAATTAATCAACTATAGTGTTTATATGTAATTTTAACCAAATACACTTCAGATATAAGTTAACAGTATAGAAATCAGTATTCTTATTTTGTCATTGTTCCCATAGCTATGGAAATTTGACTATACAAAATATTCCCAAGTAATGAAGTTACATATGGCACTTTAGCATATCTATTGCCAATGAAGCAGGTAAAGTGATTCATATATCTGATGATGCTCACCTTATTACGTCTAAATAAGTACAACAATACATACCGGTTTGCCGTTTCCTCCTCGAGTTACCTGTAATACCAGTATTACAAAGTCAATTTACCTATTTCAATCTTACTTCTGGAATCTCCATTTTAGGTCAAGCAGAATGGAAAATTACTGTTTCATTTAAAAATATATATTTTAAAGATAGATGTACAACTAATTTTAACCTAATGCTAAAATTTTACGATATCAAGTCTTAATTCGATTGATAAAATGTAGTCTTCACTGTACCTGCGCAAGACCACTCCTCAGGTATGCAGACACCGGCACAGTATTTTAAAGAATTGAAACATGGGTCTTTAGAAGGAAAGAATAATCAAAATATTAGAACATGTAGAAATTAACAGAAAAAATCAACACATGGAAACATATTGACTGCGGCATCAACATCAACAGAAACGGTACCGAAACCTTAATTACAGGACATGTTGCACTTATAACGATAATTTAACGGAATTATTTTCTAAGTCATGTGTTAAGAATAAAACAAGATATTTACTTATGACGTCGGTTTCTATAAGATATCGGTTGAACAAAGAAAGTCTAGAGGCTAGTCTCGGTGTCATGATCCTGCTGTTTGGCCATCGCAAAGGATCAGAAGAATAACTATATGAGGTATCCTGAACACATCGTCTTGTTTCAGACCCACACGTTTGTCCACTAGAGCCTTCCGATTGGAACTCAAAATCATTATATGGATACTGGAGTAGTCTAAAACATGAAATATGTATAATTTTTAAAGAGGAATATTTTATTTTCACACTAGCAACCTCAGGACCCAAGACGACAAACTGTTTACAAGGTGATAAGCAATATAAGAACATCTTATTGAAAAACACCATTAACAATTTCATAATATTACATAGAATGTTATTCTCTGGAATGTTTAAATTTTAGTTGGCTCATCAATAACTTTACCAAAAAGGAAAAGGATGTATTTTCCATGAAAAAGGATCCCGGTTTACTATTTAAACTTTTTTGCAAGGCATATAGGTTTTGCAATTTGATTCTATCCTCTTTAAAACAAATCATAGAAACCCGCGAATTAGATATCTTTACAGTGTCCTTTTGCATTTCGATGTTAACAGTTATGGTTATGAATGGATACACTTCCCATACATGCGAGGTGAGTGCATATGCTAAAAGCATGTGTTTGTGGGAGGCTGCGATATTCCTTATTTAGTATCCTTGTAACAGTGACACAATGTCCGGTTTCATTCATACAACGGATAACTGGTTGTTAAACTACGGCATAGTGAATGAATCGAATGTAGCATTACTTGCAGAAAAATCACCTTTGCATTTGTATCATATTATCTCTGGAGTAAATTTCGTCGATATCACCACATACGTCTTCAACTGTTTTCTGTGAAGGATACTCTGTAGTTCCGGACTGAAATAAATCTAACTCTTCTATTTTAGAAGATATCCTTGAAAAATCAATAGTCAGATCTAAAATGGAAATAAGCGACATAAAGTTAGAATTGCACTGCAATAAGGTTAGTACAGAATTCTTTAACGTTTTTCTTATTTTCATAAAAAATTATTAATTCATGTCCAAGATTTTCCCTATCAATCTCTCTACTTTCAGTTTTAAAGAGTAAAGTTATATTGGTACAAAATGAACAAAAGGCCATTTTCTCATTTTGGTCCTCTCTGGAAAGGTGCTTGAGGTTTATCTTTGGGATATGATTATTAATTTTGATGGGTGCGTGAGGGCCAGTAATCGATTATATCCCACATGTTATACAGATCATTGAAAATAACAATTAATTAACATAAACCTGCTAATATGCCATGAAATAAGTCGATGCATGGCCAGATGGAATCTTTGCAATTAGAATCAAAACCAGATCCAGTCGATCTGCGTGACCTTAGTGATCGTTTACGCCGGGAATGGTCGGTTTGTTCTCCAACACACACTTCTTTATACCCATCTGTTTGGCTCTTAAGCATTCGTAAACCTGCACATTGGACCAGCTGATAGAATCTTTGATTAACCCCTTCATTCTGGGATCGAACCTGGTCAGACTCCTCACTGACTGCTATGGTGGCTGCTCGGCCCTCGTAGTAAAGGGACGTGTTACCGTGTTGCCTGTCTGGATATTGTTGTGTAGGTTCATCAAAGCCCTCGTCTATTATTAGTTTTCCTTCATGTAAGAAATAAGCAATTGCTTGTATATATTCATCAAACTATTCCTTATTATTGTGACCGGTGATATGTTTTTTGTTTAATCATGCTTAATACACATGACCTATGAAATGTATCATCCCGACAATGATATTAAATGATTCATCACCGCGTAGAAAGTATCAAATGAAATCATTTGATTGAAATACTGTTATTCTACAGTGTTTGGCTTGTCCTTAATTCAAACCTTTAATCGATATAACAAAGACTTAATTTTCGCTAACACTCCCGCAAAATTACAACGAAGACACCACCTGATGTTCCAGATGTTTCATCCATGTAGTCTAAATAATATTGAACACAACTAATACCATATCGAACAAGGGAAAACAAATTTCCCCACCGAGATCATGAAGGTAAAAATAAATATTTCAAATATTCTTGATCAATTTATATATCGCTCCAAATATTCGTGTATGGTCTCCCGTCAACTAACTCATCATGTTCGGAATAATCTTCTTTATATCAATTCGACTATGACATATTAAAACCACCTTGAGGAAGTATGAGTATTGTATAATAACTTACGTAGTGGCCATTCTGCTATCACTAGTTTTGCAAGCTTAGTCAGAGCAAAGTGCATATCTCTTGATACCAATCTGTCAGCACATATACTGGTGACATCACTGTTACTGCAGTCAGAACATGTCGTGAATTCATTGCCACACCAAGTAGATTGGGCCGACTCGTCCGATGGAAATATGATAATGTTCCCAAACAGCTCGTCAAGTCTGGGATAAAGCAATATTCGTGTGATCGAGTTGAAAAAGAAGCGAGTGCGATATAAAAGCATAAATGTATGAATGTAAGTGTGCAGCAGCAGAGTCACAGGATGATGTATCTAGTTTAAGAATCGTGGAAGATATTTAGATACAGGAAAAAACATAATATGCTTACACTTTCCATACATTCAAATTAACTCAAGAATGAATGTTTTTAGAAAAGCACAACGTGATTTAGTTTAAAACCTGTCTTAATATGCATGAAAATATATCGTTAGCGTTATTTCTTTGGCGATCAACTTCGTACGTGAAATTGACGGAAAATACATACACATACAACAATCACTTAAGATATATGAAACTGTAATTATCAAATTATCTGCTTTAATATACGCCAAACTCTTCATGCTTACAAACATATACAGAGTAACGAATATTAGTATTTTTTTAACCATATGATGTTATATGAATGTGTTTAATTTAGGAAAAAGATACAAAATGAGTCAGGTCACATATTATTTCATGAATAAAGTTTAAATCCACCACGATTATATTCAGACATTTTTAAATACCTACACATTCAGGGCGTCCGCTTTATCGTTGATAGGCGAGTTTGGCTCCCCGCAGGCATCCTCTAAACTTTCGTATACTTCCGGAGTTTTTGATCCAGAGCAGTAGGCTTTACTTGTATTCAAAACATTCATTGTGGAAAGGGATCGATTTCCTAGATGGTGAGTCATATCGATATCTCCACAACTATATATTAAGGCAATGTAAATTATTATCATCATAATTAAGTAATGCTTCACCATGGTAAATAAATAAATATATAATGATTCTCTATTTCATTCATACGTACTATTTAACAATATACTGAAATTGATTTTGTTATTTTTTCCATCTCACTTCGAATATTAATTAACTTTTGAAATAAAGATGCAGTAAGTTTCATGTTTTCATTTCCGGAAATATATCTTAACATACCACAGTGGAAAGTTGAATGCGGTAAGGTCTGCAGTCATATTCTCTAAGTCTATCTTCCCTATTGATTCTGCCATCAGAGACGAATACATCGCTTCCTCGTCAACATTGGAATTTACCTTCAGCTGCGTTGTTGTACTTAACATACAAAATACATTTATTCGTACGAAGCACGGATTTGACTAATTACATACGTTCAAGTATCAGAAAACTATGTATGTGGGTTTGAAATATCAAAAGATATGCAGTAGCACAATGTCCTTTACCTAAATATCGCTGGGGACTCAAAACTCCAAAACACGTCCTTTTCTGACCATGACATTGCTGGAATCAATCTAAGCTAAAACGAAAATGTGACAATGAATGGTTACACATACATAAAAACAGGTATATTGGTAAATACTAATTATGTCTGTGAACTGATTTGCTAAGAAAATTGAAATGTAAGATAGGATGTAAAAGCGATGTTAATACTGGACGATTTCTATGTTGACTGACCACTGAGCTCTTACCTTGTTTGTTACTCTAGCTGTAACGTTTACGATGTTGTCAGTGTCCAGGATGTTTGTACCGCCTTCAGTGTACCTCCAATCCGTCATTGTAGAGTTCACACGTATGTTGCCATCAGACCCCATAGAACGCACTATAATGATATATGACCATAACAGAATTACATCAGTAATCTGGTCAGTTTCTTAACCTTCCTTAACGAAACCTAATGTTAAACAGCTATGACGTACACTGTTCTAATCTAAAGGGTCTCTATTATCATGGCAATAAACAAATAGCTGTAAAATGCGCTAGAGATTTTTGTTTACATCAATTTTGGACAAGTGGTAGACAGGGACATTGTGCTTGTCGTCCCAGAACAAGTATTTCCTTTATATACTCACAGCAACAGCTACGACAACATATCGATAGCACAGCCTATTTCTATCAGGTACCGCGAAAATAGAGAACTACGATATACAATGAAATTAAATTGTAAAAACATTGATGGCAACATTTTCTAGTTTGACCACAATTGCGCTAATAGGTCTGCGAAATACGACGTCTTCAATTTATACAATTGTTTAACAATAGAACTGTAGAACGTACAATATAAATAAAGACCCCTAAACCTACCCCCCCCCCCAACCCACAATCCCCAAGAATAATCGGAAATTATCACACACAAAATGTAATGACTTCTTGACGTGCACAAACGATAGTATTTGACTTACAAATTTCGAACCGTCCACTTCCGTGAATATCCAATCTAGCGTTCATGGCTCCAGTGGCGATCATATCGATGGCTACTGACGTTGTTAGTTGGGATCGTATTGTGAGATTCAGAGGGGGTAAATCAGGAAGTACGGCTACAGGAATGGTAACGAGATCAAACACACCAGTATCAAGTACGTCAGCACTGTGGTAACTAGACACTGCTTTAGTCGTCATCGCCGATATATTCAGTTGATTTTGTATTATCCCGGATATCTGATATTCGTAAAATATTACAATAAAACGTTTTTAAATCGCATTTAATTGAAGAAAATGACTACAACCATAGTTTGTTTAACATTTGACAAATATTAGACTTTTTTAAAATTTCAAAAGAATCAATTTCAAAACATGTATTTATTATACAGTTTAAACAGTGTAAAACAATTTAATCATGCGTCCGTTTGATTATTCGATGCACTCACACATAATCATTCTTGCATGAAAATATGTTTAGGATCAATCGCAGCGACATATAACAAAACTTACCTCTGATTCAAACACTTCCAGTTCAGCCTTTTTGTCCGGAGTACGTTTTAGCTTAATTTGTCTACAATAAATGTGTATGGAAACAATTTGATTAAAACAATCAAATAAGTCGTACATATAGTAAACAAATATGTGAGATATTGACGCATACATATGTAAAACACTTCACAGATTTATGACATTATATCGACTTTAGATATTATGTCGTAAGCTCCTCAAATGCACTTTGAGCTATGAAAGATAAACTTACAGCCTATATGATGTAGAAATATCGCCAGAACATGTTTCACAGACAACACGGAACACCACATCATCCGTTTCTGTGGTAGGCAGACTGATGTCACTAAATACATCTGGAGTTGTTTGTGTTGATAACTTCTGGATACCAAATATTTTGTTTTCAGGGTTAAAGCTAATCGTTTCCGTCATATTCATGTTAAAGTTTACAGCATCAACAATGGCCGATGGTAGTCCCCTCTTCACACGTGTGTGGGGTCCAAAGTAACGAAGATCAACATCTAAGGCCTCAAATATGTTCACAAACCTAAAAATAAAGCATACCTCAAAAAGACTGAGGACCATTTTATAGATATGAAAATGTTCAATTCTAATACATATGTTAAAATGCTTTTAAGTTAAAGTTTCTTAATATTCATCTTACTTGTAACATATGTTTTTTGTATTACGTAAAATGACCGCACAAAGCAAAAATCTATTATTATTCATAATGCAAAATATGAAATATCTCATTACTTTTAAGCTCGTTTTATTCTTAATTAGTTAATGGTTTGCAGGAATTTGATATGACAGTGAAATATTTTTAAAACAAAAAAAAAGGTTATATCACATGGTAGGTGAGCTGTTTTATCTTACTCCGTTGGCTCCGTCAACAGTTCAACACGATCATCCCGTTTCGACATAATTTCTATCACTTGTCGTAATTCGTTTTTTTTTTTTTTTTCGTCTATGAAGCATTGGCGAGCAGCTTCCCCGATGACAATGTCCCCTATGGCCCAAGCTACAATCGTCTTAGGGTCAAACGTTACAACAATCAAGCGTTTTTCCTTACATCTTGTGCCCTATAACATAGATATAGTTATCAAATATAAAATTATAGCAGGGCATGTTAAATATCAAAGATAGTTGCGACATTACAATAAACGTTATGTATTTATCACAGTATATTATTGTTACGTTTGCCAATAACTGAAATTAATCCAACCGAAATTTAGTACAAAAGCTTCAATGAACGACAATGTAACAGTAACAAAAAAGGAAACTACTAACATATCAAAATAATCATAATCCAAACTAAACATGCATTAAGTAAGGCAAAATATGAACAAAAGAAAGATTTACATGGGAAATCTTCATTAACCTGCCACAGGGGGGCAAAACACACAAAAATCAAGGAGAAATCAGGATATTTTAGATCATACGTAAATATGAAATGAAACTAAATCACTTGAACTGTAGTAAGTGTTCCAAGCAACAAACAACTAGTATGATGTTTTGTGAACAAATACCGTCTAAAATTGTGTCCAGTCCCCGTCGAGATTAAACATAGCTCTAGTAAGATAGGGGTCATACTCGGAAATTTGACATTGTATCTCGTATTATATTTTAATCGCAGATAAAGGAATTGAAGAAAGATTACTACATTGAGCTAAAGTTAACTCGTCATATAATTTTGTATAATCTCCACAACATCATATTTGGTTTGGGCTAATAAATAGTTTGGGGGCAAAACTTTTCTTTTTCTGTGAATTTACTGATTTTACTAATATTAAAGTTTAAATTAACGTATTATTCTCAAACGTCACATGATTTTAATCAAATATCGTAGCATTGATAATGTGTTGATGGTGACAAGAATCATTATTGACCTGCCCTCTGGGACCTGATGGGGAGACTATTCTGGATAGGTACACTCTATGTTGTTAAAGACGAATGGTCGGTAGAATACTGTAACATCCATGAACAATAGACTATATTTCGTAGTGTTTTTATGGTAGTATTATGACATCGACTGTTGCAATAATCATTAGTATTTAGGAATCGTACAAATCATGTTAAAACTATCTAGCTAATAAGCAACATGCATAATGTAAATGGTTCAATTTTGTCGTAGGCTCATAATTAAACCTGATAATAATACAAAACCGTGCTGTATCCATACAGATCCACTGTTATTGGATAATACATGTTTGAAACATTTCCTAGTAAATTCGTGATTTTCAAGCATACGCAAACAAACTAGGTTGTATTATCAATAGGTTAGTGGGGCTGCGGACCTAAATCGATGTAATCTAGATGCAATAACGTACAAGTATCTAGTTTGATGCATTTGTGATGCTAGTAATCAATTTTTTTCACAGCAGAACATATTATTTTTCATCTATATCGCGATTATTTTCAGGTATTTTCTTAAAATCATTTGTTTTCGGCACCGATATATATATATATATATTATAAATGTCTGGTAACATTTCATCGGATGAAAAAGAGGAACTGAAAATGATTGATATTAATTCCTTTACAAGATGTAGAGAGCTTGATTTCCTTTGCTAAAAGTATATTTACAAGGAACAACTAAATGAGCTGTCATATATATATATATATATATATAAAGAATAACAAATTGGCAATAATCATGTTTACATCAACACAATGTCTTTTGTGTATCAAGGTGTTTCTACAGACGAGAAATAAACACTTTGAATACAGTAACCAGTAAACGGGGTGACTTGCTTAAGATTGTACAAAAGAAACGCAAATGAATAATACATTATAATGCAATCAGAATTCGAGCCAAAGAATGTTTGAGACAGCTAAATACTATGTTAATGCCTAAATCGAATACATATACATGAAACTAACCTTTAATAAAGATATAACATGTAACACACACGATTCGTATAAAAATTACCCACAAATATCCGCACACAAACCTTTATTTTAGACTGGTCATCGAGGTTGATGACATGTCTTGTATGTCCTGAACTAGTGAGGTGATAAACATGTTCGTCATTGCCGGTAACAAATCTTGTCTCGTGATGAAAATTGTGTGAGTTGACACTGTCTAATAAAGCTGTGACAACAAATAAAACACACAGAACACACACACCCGCCATGTTTAGACTGTCCCTGTAACGGATTGTTTACCGACCGGGAAGTAGAAACACTATGTAAGTATTACAGTGTTCTAGCTAGTTAAATTTACTCGCATACCTGTCACTAACCTGTGTCGTTAGAAATGGACGGTTTTTCCACTCAGCTAAAGTGGACTTGTATTTTTCTACTATATGGATCCCTTGCAGGTAAGTATGAAATCGAGTTTGATTTCAACTGTTGAAATGTATTATTTCCCACAATCTCTACATACCGTATACAATATCTTTAACTTTAATGTGTATCAAAGTGTTCCAGTTGTAAATGATACAATAGGTGGATTAAATAAGCTGTCATACATAATGGAGCCTTACTAACGGGAATGGACATTTTTATAGTAATAGTAAACAATGAATTGAGATTGGACAAGATTAAATAAAATGATGACGCCTGTGTCAGGCTTCTTGATGTTTCGTGATTGTGATTTAGCACTGACTGTCGAGCAGTTAACCATTACTATCAGTTCCTCCTGTAGCGGACACAATCAAGCAAGCAAACAAAATAATAATAATGAAACGATTGCAAATTTAATTAAAACACTTTTTTACTAAAAAAAAAACATTCAATTTTTGAGCACAAGAGCACGAGTGTAGTTCTGAGATGTATCATGTAATAGATAGCAGCATATCAAAGTTAAAACGACATCCATGGTAAATGCACCAGAATAATGTGTAGATGAATTCCCCAAAACTGATCCAAATGCATCAGCGAGTTAAAAAAAACACTAGTGTATACATTGTTTTTTATCGTTGCCAATAAATCATCAAAAAGGCCAGACTCCGAAAGAGGATACATTGTTAGACGATACTCAATTAATTATGAAATACAACAATAAATAATTTATAAATCTTGTAATGTATATGGTGCTACATTTTTTACAGTCAATACCGGCTTTAAAGGCCAGCTAGTGGCACAAAATTGCGACCTTCACAGGTTCGTTTACTGTAAATTGTATAACATATGGAACCAAAGATAGATTTCTTCATGAGCAGGTAATTGATGTATAGAGGTCATTATACATGTTTATGACGATACACATGTGTCAATTTAATCCAACATCAAATGTAAATTACATTTTCTACAATATTCTTCTCATATCCTAAAGGTGACTCAAATGTTGCTGTCAAACCTTGTAATGGTGTATCAGGAACATGTCAGAATGAAAATACTCAATGCAAAGGATCGTATCTGCAGCAATTTGACGACAAATGTCCAGATAATGAACGATTCTGTACTAACATACATCAAAGTAAGTAATTATATCGCATTGTTCAAGAAAAATAAGAAGTTCTTTATTTTTGTTGTCATTATCCTCGCTTTCATACATTTTCGCACTTTCAACTGTGCTTAAGACTGACATATATTATCGGATGTCGTTGATATAGAAAGAGATGCCTTCATGAAGCAGACGAATGATAGATAGTTCGAATCCATATAAACTAATGGATAACTGGAAGCGTCGACTGTGCCAACTGAAATCCCATTTAGGTCTTTGCTGACCGAATAAAACGCTATACATTGTTTAACAATAAGTAAATGCCATTCAACCTTAAATTGATGGTATTTTATGGTAATATCTCAATTCATTGTTTCATTTTTCCAGTACAAAGCACCAAAGAATGTGACACTAAGGGGTTGCCAATCGTAAAACGAGATTCTTGGGGAGCCAGAACCTCATTGAAGACCTTAAATGATTTGGATTCCGATCTGTCCTTCTTCGTTATCCATCATGCGGATGGATATAGCTGCTCAGATCAAAAGACCTGTCTGCAACGCATGAAAGAGGTTCAGAAGGATCATCAGTCAAAAAGAAAAGGTTAATTAATCTGCTTCTCTTGCACATTATTTGATATGACATGCGATCAAATCAGCACAATGGATGTGGTTATTACGTATTAATTGTACACGGGACATACAAGTATATAGCATATTTAATTACAAATCTCGAATCAGATAGAGTAGAGCCAAGTAATGAGTTAACCTATAACCTAAAGCTATTTCGTCTTATTTAATATATTGTTTAATACAGCTGTGGAATCGCACAACGGAATGTTGCACTATGTGCAATGTGTATATAGTGTCTGCACGATAGGAACCTAGAAAAATGTGCCATAGTACATCTGTAAAAACGTTATGGGGTTCTATCGCATGGATGTGTTATGCTATCGCGTATCGTAAAAAAATAGAAAAAGTGTGTGATATGGTTTACTTATGTTTACTTAAGTGCCACACGTGACCAATATACACACATACACACACACACACACACACACACACATATATATATATAATTTGCGTTGAAACATTAAATGGACGTAAATGGACGCCTCTTCTTGTCTTGGCGATGAATCATTTAAAATCTTATTCCGTCAGAAAGGAAATAATTTTTACACTGCTTCTGTATTACTCTAATTTTCCTATCATTTGAAATTTGTTATTGGTATACGATACTTTGTGTTTTACAACAATTTAATCAATAAGAATAATGAAATATATGTACTGAAAACACAATCAAGTATTTATTACTGAGAAATCTCATATTAAGTAGGAATTGCATCGTACCAATGACCCTGTCATTTATAAGAAACGTAAGAGAAGGGTAAGAGCTATTTTGGTGTACCTATATCTTTTTCAGGTTTTGATGACATTGGCTACCAGTATGTGATAGGAGGAGATGGGACGGTGTTTGAAGGCCGGGGTTGGAAGTACCAAGGCGCACACTCACCAGGTTACAATACAAAAAGCATCGGTGTCTGCCTTCTCGGTAACTTCACGGCAACTCTGCCTTCTAATGACGCAGCTACATCACTAAAGAATCTCCACGTATGTCTGCAAAGCATTAACGTGCTTTCTCCAAATAACAGCGTTTACGGCCATAGAGATATCAGGCAAACTGAATGTCCTGGAACCGAGTTCTACAAGACATTAAAGACCCAGTTCGCACCGTTTTGGCACAGTATCGAACCGGAAATGTGGAAAGGTAAACTTTTATCTTTTTTCTAAAAGATGTTTAATTTTATATGAATGGAGGTTCGTGTATATTCTAGTTTGTCCCCAAAATATGGGTAGTATTCTACAAAGTGTATCTTAAGCCAGCGACTGTTAAATTGTCTAAATAGATTCATGGGCATGTTGGATCTGTAACTACTCCTTGATAAATCCGGAGAAACATAATGGAAACCTATATTGAATTGGAATGTTTTGAAATTAACTTGAAACTCTTGATTATCTACATTTTCCTTAATTCCATTTTACAAATATATCAAGTCTGCCTGTTGTGTAGGATAATTTCTGAAATCATGAGTTTGCTTAAGCGGCACTTTTTAATGGTGGGTAACTGGAAACCAAATATAGCACGAGGAAAACTATTTTAAAATAATGATATGATAAATAACACTGATGTTTTGTATTTAGTGGTCATGAAGTTGTAGTTTCTCTTTACTACACTGACACCTTCATCAGAGAAATAATAATGATGCTGAGGTATACATTGTTTGAGTTGTTAAAAAATCCACGTGTCTTTTCAGCTGAAGTATTTTGTTTGTGACGAGATGGCGATACTTTTAGAGTAAAAACAGGTCAAACTGATTATTTCAGTACATATATTAAGTGTTTACCATGTACCATCCCATTAAAGTCGATTTAAGCATTCTTGTCCTGTGGTTTTTTTTATTGTAATGTACACTGTATTATCTCACTACAAATAAGTGTACACTTTACCCTAGTCAATTCTGTGATGAAGGTGATGTGGTAGTCATTGTAAAGTCACGCGTCATTTTATAAGCAGCTGTGAAATAAAAAAAAATCTACTTGGTGTTTTATATTATTTTTCAGGCTAGAGTAAAACTGGAATTTGCAGAAACACTTCTGAATAGTGTAATGGAACCTTCATGATGAAACTGTGCCCAGGCTTAAAAGCTATCAAATATTTTATGCCTAACAAGAAATAGATATAAGATTCGAAGGGAATGACTTTTATTTTCTGCAATATGAAAAACAGGCGAACAAAGCGTTCTCTTTTATTGATGCAAATTTTCGTATAAGAAATGATTATACAATACATATTTCAACAACTTCATTTGGAAACGACTTCTGGTATGTTTTCATATTAGTGCTTAATGTAAAGTGCCTTTAATCGAGATTCCCTTTAATCGAGATTTCATTATTAAACGTGTAACTTCTAATTTGATGTCCCTTATCTATTTATCTATAGCTCCATGTGATGGCTCTCGAACCTAATTTTTTTTAAGAAATCATTTAAGTTTAAATATAATAGTATAAGACATTATCTAAATTATCATAATGAAATTAAACTAATTTATTACTATATGACCTCTATCATTTCAAATTCATAGTTTAACTTGAACCTCTGTCAATCTTGAAATTCGGAATTTGAAATCCTGTATTTTGAAACATAGCAGGCGACAGAAGAAAATCAAAATTGATCGAAAGAACTAGATGGTGCACTAGCCACATAATTCAGTATTTTTTGTAATGTTCATATGTCTGATAATTTCAAAAAAACACCAAATACCTGTGTATATTTCAAATCATGCCACTATTTGAATGAATCGAAAGGTGGCATGCAGGTTATGACAAGTTTCGGGGAGTCCATCAGTAGAGTACCATCTGCAATTTCGAAGATTGCACAATAGGCACACAAGTATGAACAGCACCTTTCGACAAAAAATCATAATTAGTAAATCTAAATAATGAATAATACTGCATCACACAAGCGTTTCGTGCTTCGATGCTGAGGTCCTCTTATATTATAAAACCTTGAAGGGGACAATGGGATGCAGTGATCCAAAGCAATGTCAAGATCTATATGGAGAGGTGCACTACCGGCAGTATTCGTGCGAATTATAACGTGGCGTGTAGGTAAGCCTAGGGGATAAATAAATACACATACATTATCTACCACATGCAATTTCGTAGATTCGATAAAAGACACGCAAATGAATAACACCTTTCAATAAAGAGGACCTCCCGATCATAGTATCGTACAAATTTGATGATCGTCGTCTCCAAAATTTGATTTATCATTTGGAAAGAAAACTACAAAAAAGATTATAATGGTATCACCGCCATGTTTAGCTCCCAAATTCTGGAACACGAAGACATTTGTCCACTACACATTAAGTCATTTCTTCGGGGTAGGCGGAGTCAAATAAAAGTTGTTGGAACTTTCTGTGCCTCATAAATGGCTTATGAAAATAAAATAAAGCTTGGCTTACATTAACAATATCTTTACGGCTAAACTGGATCACTTGTTCACTCAATATTGGGGGAAAATTTTATTTCTGTCACAATTATTCGATGCACACGAACAGTCAATTATTCAGCCAGGATACAGATTTTCAGGAAGACAAATAAAACAATCTTAAAACCTTTTTGTGAAATTACAGCCTAACCCCATGTCTGAATTCCATGACATCACATGTCTAAACATACTTTGTCATCTATTCGCAGGTAACACATGATGGAAAATTCAATAACAAGAAAATACAGGATGACTTCACTGAAACCAAATATCGGGCTTACAAAAAAACAACAAACATGCTTTTAAGATAATCTTAATTCAAGCTCAAATACGGTGTAACTATGACAAACTATGAAGAATGAAAAATCACACCGATACCAATGAAAAAAAATACAAGAATAATAAGACCAATATCTTATGCTTCATCTACGAAACCCATTATGTAAATCAGTGCAATGCAATAATAATCTTATCACCACGTCCAAAAACGTGTGTTTTAATTGTTTGTCTCTTGTTACACGAGTTGAATGCACGGGACGTAATACGTTGTGACTTTGCCGGTGTGCTAACGTGAATCTCGTCTTCCATTCAGCAGTCAACGGGTATGAATGTACATGTAATTTTCACTACGGTCTCTAATCTTTAATATTTAACCGAGAAACTGACTGAGAGTAAGCTAATAATTCTAAATTATTATTTTGAACCACCTTCGCTTTTGTTATCGTTTCCCGTTGGGCTATATGTACCTGTAGTTATGTAGCTTGTCTGTCATCTATAAATTCTTGCTTTCTATACATTGTATGTAGGGTATAGAATGAAGAACGTGTGAAAACGACCCTGGTGTCTGAATGTTTCTATAGGTCTTTATCGTCTCATCACGATCCAGATTGAGAACAAATGATATAAAAAGTTTGGAAAAGTGCCAAAACATTGCAAGACTGAAATATTTCTGTACCTTTAAAAATTCTTTTTAAGTCTCATACCAAAGACTCTTTTGTATGATGCAGGTGCTTAAACCAGTATGTAATTATTTTATTTAATGCTACCATTATGTTATTATTTACATTACTGCTACCCTCATATTCCTGTCCATGAGAATCGTTGGAATAGGTCATGGCCTACATCTAATTGCAAAGTACCAAACAGTGTAATGCTTAATAACATTTTGAAACTTAAACGTCGATTGACAAATAGTTGGCAACTGTTCAAAGACGTTATTGAAACATGTATAGTGCTGGCGCCAAAAGACCTTTAGTTTTTTGAAAGACATTTTATCACGCGGCTAATGAATAGACTTCAGGTTATGAACTCTACAGGTTGTCAATACATTGTCTAAGTTATATAGACATCTTCAAAATGTAAATCAACAACAGAGAAAAATTCTAATTGCTATTTCAGTCCATTTGTTAACTGTAGGACCTTCGCGATCAGCACCAGATTTATCATTACTGTAAAGTATCGACTATAAGTCCTTACATACAGTTCCTTATAGATGTAGTATCGAACTATATAAAAACAGGAGTCTCTGTGTAAGTCTTTCCCTTGTTCATATTTTGCCCTATTTTGATTATTGAATTTGAGTTTGAATTAGGATTATGGTGACATCTTTGTATGTTGTTGCTTTTTTGTAAACGCCATAAAATCTCGAGCAAACATACTTCGCAAACACTTAACCTTTTCCCATTTATTATTGGTTTGAATTTGTTTCTGGTAGTGACATGTATCATTCATCACTTGGGCCATATTAAACAATGAAAATCGCTTTTAAACTTGAACAATGCAATAAAAATCTTATCACAACGTCCAATAATGTGTGTTTTAATTGTTTGTCTTTTGTTACACGAGTTGAATGCACGGAACGATGTCCTTCCGTAAGTAGACAAGTAAAATACACGAGGAAATAAACATTAATACAGATAAACAGCTCGAGCTTGTAGGTTTGCAAGATGACTTACATATTGTAATTAGGTATTCGATTCTTTTCTTTCTACTATGTTAATATGTCGGTATTTTTATGTTTTTTATGATTTGTCAATAAACATTTTTTATCGAAACCTTACTATAGGCAAGTCCTAAAATCGTTAACGTATTACCAAACTTAACCGTGCAAACATGTTCCCATAACCCTAGTGTAAAAAAGGAAAAATACAAAATGAAAACCAACATGACAATAATGGTCTTAGTCTGAACTTTAATTCAATGAAACTTATCAACAAAATAAAGATTTACAGGCGGCTCTTGAAAAAAAACCACATGGATAATAAAATCATGCGTTCTGGAAGAGCAAGCGCCTTCTGCTTCATTGACGACACCAGCCATGTAAATCTTGGTCTATCTAAGTAAGAAATGTAACGTTTCCAACTGAGAGTACGCTAAACAATAACAAAAATCCGACAGGTATGCTTTTGTGCGTTCCGCTTCTCCCGATCCGTAATACGCAGCGACTGTGCTGGTGTACCAACGTGAATCTCTTGCTTTATTTCCATATTTCCATTATTTGGCTTAGACTACTGTATATACAAAATGTATTCCTCCTTGCCAAAGAAAGTCCCAGGGCTAAATCTAATCTTTCCTGAAGGAGAAATAGTATCGTCAATCTTCGCCAAAGGATGCTTCTGAGCAGTCGTTTATGACTAGTAGCGTTTTGTTGAAAAAGTTGACAGACAGCGGTATGTCATAAGTTCGCTTGACTCCTCAGCCCTGGTGAGCTTATATGTCCCTATATAGTGTAACGTGACGCATAATGCATTGGTCGGGTTGGAACATGAAAAAGTATGGGAAGACAAACAAGAAAATCAGTCAAGATGTACTCAAGATGGAAAGTCGGATTCAAAACATCAATAAGTCCAAATTAGTTTTAAAATTGTGTTTATGCAAGTATTTCATAAATGAATTAGTCAAAAATTATCTACAATACGCATATCCACCAATGTATATTGTCTATGTATGTACAATGCACTTATATATGCTATCATTAACAAGAAAGTTGTAATTCGTGAAGGATCATGTAGTTTTATGCTTTCTTATCAAAATAATTGATATTTATCAAGTAAAACATTTTACTTACTGGTAGAACATTAGATTTAACGGCCAACACAGCGTGAACATAATATGTAGTTTGCTTTTTGTAAGTCATATCTAAGTATTTGATTATGTAAAATTATTGTCCGTTATTATATCCGTCGCTATTCATAATCAACAACTTAATAATACATATCTTTTTTAAATAGCTGTAAATGACACATATTTGTTTACAAGTTAACATGAGAGGGGTTTTTTTTCCTGCGCTCTAATTGTTCCGTTCATGTTTAATGTAGAACATGCAAATATGTTGTATATTTCAAAAGAAATAAACATGATGACATCTAAGAGTAATCTTTAATGTGATATGAGTATTTTATTATTTATAATTATGAGAAACAGTGAGTGCCTACAAATTATAAAAACAAAATTATAAATGTTTAATATAAAGATTATTCGTAAGTATATGTCACTTTCCGCCTTATATCATTTTCCCTCGAAAAATTGAATATGATATTAAGCTGTTTCCATTGTATACTTTGTTGTCTGAGTTAA